AGGGGAGATAGCTAGCTTAGTAAAATCAAATATTTGATTATAATATATATTAAATATAAACAATGTGAAAATATAGTCTGGGTCTAAACTATTTCAAACACTGTAGTCTTGTAACAAACCATGTACTGGTTATATATTCCTTATGTTGCTTGCTGGTTATGGGCTTTATAATTAATTTAGCCTAATGGAAAGGCTAAAAGAGCATATTTTCAGCTATTTTTCAAAGTAGAAACAAATAGCAGTCAACAAAATATCCTTCATCCTGATGATCCCTCCTTGCTGAAAAAAAAATATTTTGCAAAATATTATATTTCATGTGTTTGCTCAGAGTTCCTGAGATCTCAGAGTCTTTTAAAATAAACAGTACTAGACATAGAAATGTTGTGAAGTGACAGATCAGCATCTTATCTTTAAATGAGGTGAAATTTCCCACTGGTGTTTCACAGCTTCGGTGATTAGCTTTGCTTAGTTTGTAAAGAGGGATCGAGGCTAATCTGTCTGTCCATAATACTAAGTGCTGGTTGAGAATCAGTAGATAATTGAACCACTGAAAACTTACTTGACTATCCGCACCTCTCATACTAGCATAAAAAGAGCAAGAAGCAGTAGCAGGTGTAATTTATGGTTCTCTCCTACAATGAGAGGTACGATGACTCAGGTCAGATGCAAAGCCCACGCAGCCTTCTAAACTATTGGAGCAGTGAGCTCCAGGTAATGGACCAGGCAAATACCATAAAATAGTAATTAAATGTCTCAGCCGATAATTGCAGGTATTAGTAATTAGTAAGAATAACTAACAATACCTACTAATCAAAGACACATGAAATAGGTTTATAAATATCCACCTGGATTGTGTTCAAAGATGTTAGAAAATTGGCCTAAACACATTTTAAGGAAGTACATTGTTAGTGGGTGAGATTAGAGATGTTGGGGAAAATGAAACATGGTGGGAAATGAAAGCTCATTTCATGTGTCTGCTTTTTCTTCTTACTAAAACTTAATTTTTATTTTTCTGGCCTCAATTGGTTATAGTAACTTTATTTGCAGAAAGTATATGCATCAGCAAAAACTCTTCATGATGTTAAATATTATAGAAACTACAGAAATCATAGCACTCCAAAAGTGTGTAGGGTTGCTGGGTGAACAACTGGGATACTTGACCTTGTGAGTTACTATTCCTATCATTGTTTTTATCAGCCTTTCATAACTTTGAGCAAATCTCTTCCCCCTTTTGTTCACTTTCATTGATAAAATGGGATAATAATATTTAAGCACAATATTTCATAAAGGTGTTGTGCAGACCCATTAATAAATCCATTTGTAGGTCTTTGATTACCTTCAGTATATCAGAATGTCACTACTGAGTTTGCTGAGTGCACTTATTTAACTTCCTAGTTCTATTCAACTTCTAGATTATGAAATGATACTTAGTGGCATAATTTATGATATGACTGAAACTATCACCCTAAAAGTCAGTTCAACACTCATCCACTACTCCTTAGAAAAAAGCTATAAAGTACCCAGATTGTCTTGTCTTTTCTTCAGTTATTATAAAGATTTATTTGATCTCTAGCTCTAATATCCAGTGAAGGTTTTCTCTGTCAGTATTAACTTCTCAGATCAATAAATTGCAATAGTGATACCCAGAGAAGTCAATGTCTGCCAACTATCATTACAGTGTTTACCCTTGTTGAAAAGCAGTTGTAGCAAATTAAATTGGCTTCTGTCAGTGGGTGATATACAGGGGATCATCTGTATTTCATGTTACAATTAACAAAGGTCGATACGTTGGCCTCTTCCTAGAAAAGACCAAAGGCAAGTGTTTGTAGGGAGAAAAATCCCAATTTGTAAGGTGACTGTTTTCCTTTAAAGATTGCTGAAGATTGGAAGATAACTGTTGTTTTCAAAGCATGGTTTTAATAATGTGCATTTAGATATACTTCTGTATTGCTGGAAAAACACTGACTACATTCTCTAATCTGCCATTAGACAATTTACGTCAGTACGTAAGTTTATGAAACAATCTGTTTTGAGGCAGGTATACACAAGTGGAAGATAACAAAACCAAGCCTGTAGCTCCAGAAAGAGCTGCTTTCTCTTTCATTTAGCTGAAATGGTAGGAATCTGTCCTCAAGCAGGATCCTGATCCTGGATCTCCAAGCAGGATGAAGAGGTGGGAAAAGCTTGTTCTTAGACTTGTTTTCTTCCTTTGCCTCGTTATCAGGAAATTTCCTGCTAGTTAATAGCACTTTTCACAATGCTGTCTGAGGATAAATGATTAGCGCAGCGTAGCAGTGACTCCATTCAGTTGCACAATGAGGGTGATGATAAATTTAAGCTGATCAGCTCTAGAAATTAGAAGAAAACTTGAGCATTGATCATTGTAATCGTGGAACAATTATCAGCAAAATTCTAATAATGTCCATTTGTTGGATTTTAACAGCCTGCTTCAAATTAAAAAATGGCCTAAAAGCACTGACAGAAAAGCTCCCAGGGTTGTTTTCAACATGGGCAACATGGTATTTCCTAAACTGGTGTTCTGAGAAATGGTTGAATTACTTGTTATTTAGACATTTGAAAAAATGGAGTTTATATGATTAAAGCTTTGCAAATTGTCTGCTCTCCAGAACACTTGGAGGTCTCCAGTGACACAAGAAAAAGGCTCAGTCCACAAAACCCAACTGTGCTATTACTGCATCAGAAGTACATTTCAAAATGTTACAGTTGCACAGCAAAGTACTGCAAATTTAGGAGCTGCCTTAATTTACCTAATTTTGCCTAATATATATATAATTAGGATACAAATTATGTTTAACATCTACTATAACTTATATGATTATAGCCTAATGGTGCAGCATCTTCTGGATAATTCATAACTAAAATCTATCAACTTTAAGCCAGACTTAAAGTGAGTGGCTGCTCTTATGGGAACAGAACTGGTTTAGGCAGCATCAAATAAAAACTCCTTGTTGGGTGAATTCCTCACTGTGGTAGGTTTTTGTATGTATGGAGAGCTTTAGACTGCAAAGTGTGATAGTGACAGATACCCTGTGGACGGTAAATTTATGTGGGAGGTGTGATGTTGTTTGAAATTGTTAATATGTCCCTTCAGGAGGATAAACTGACAACATCTCTCAAAGCAGTGATTAGTTTGGAAGGGGTTTTTTTTTAATAGATCGAGAAACAACCCTTTTGGTACTGTCTCACTCAATTCTCCACTATAATAAACTGTGTTGGCACCACTGGATTTAATTAATTTACACTGGCAGAGAAGCTGCTCTGTGTTCTTTAGAGAGGAAAATTATTGAAGTTGTTGGAGGGGCCACTGAGGGTATGTATACATGGACATCTGTAGCCAGACACAGGCTTTTCTGCCAGTGCTCCTATCTGGCCAGAGTCAAACCACTTGCAGTCCAGATGCTATATAGTCACAGTGCCTCTACTAATATATCCCACTTCTCAACAGCTTTCCTGTTTCAGGCAGGGTGCCACATCAGCATGGCATCCAGACCTGGGCTGGCTCATGTCCAGTCATCACAGAAGAGCGGATATTTTTCTGAGGCCATCCTGTGGATGTGCCCTGAGACGTTTTGTCAAAGCAACTTTGGCATCCTCAGGGCTGTTCAGCCTCTCTTAGTTTCCAGCTATCACTGAAGAACTTGCAGCTTGTGTAGCGTACAGGTACTAATCTGCTTTGCAGATTTTCATACTGAGGCTGCTTCAGTGCTTAAGGGATTGGACTGCCTTCCTGTGTGCTTCTAGTTGCAAATTAGGGCACTTGGTTTGGTTTGGAAAGCAGCTACCTGATTTTTTTTTTTTTTCCCCCTCTCAGGTTTTTTCTGTTCTGTGTAAATTAAAAGACAAATTTTCCTCAGCTGAACTGTTGGCTTTTGAGGCAGAACATTCTCACAATTTCCAGTTTTGTCTGCACTTTTGAGTTTAATCTTTTAGTAAATATTGTCAGCCAGTTTTCTTGATGATCAAGTCCAGGAGTCCATGTTAAAATTTGTGATGTTTCTGAATAGCAGAGTAATGGATTCAACAAAGATACTGGCTTTCGGACATGTTATAATCTCCTGTATTCCTCAACTTCTCTGTGTTCCATGGGTTATAAACTACCTGTCCCTCTTTTTCTCTTAGGAAGTAATTACCATGGTCCCCTCCTTTCTCCTTTACTTTCTTCCCATATATTGAGAAATTAACTGCTTTTTTTTTTCTGGTGTAACAAGTATGTATCTAATTAAACTCAGTGATTTTCTCAGTAGATGTTAACTTTGAAGTCTGTGCCCTCTATTTCAGATCTGACATAGGGGTTCTGTACCCAAAATTTCATCTCAGTTTTCATCCTGTACCAGTTGATGACCAAAATATGGTGTATCTGCATAAAAATCTTCTGATGAATGAACTGTTAGAATTTCATGGGTGGAGCAGTATTCTTCACTTGCAGAGTTTGGGCTTTTTGAAGTGGTCATGATAGTTTCATAGTGATGTGAACTGAAGGATCTGATTAGCTAATTGCCTAGGTTGAATTCATTATATCATTCTGCACTGCTATGCCACAGTGTGAAAGAGATGAACTTCCAGACCATGCAAACTTGTTGGGTTTTTTTGGTGGTGTTTTTTTTTTTTTTAATTCTCCATTACATCTTTTAATAGCTTATTCTATATGAACAAATTTTTGTGTTCCCAGTTATCCTCTTGTATTACTCTTTTGTAGACACCCTGTGTTTGCATATTTGTGCATGTGTTTGTGTATTTGTGCATATGTTTGGGTCTTTGAATAAGGAGTTCATTTAAAAAAAAGAAATTACTAAGTACTTACCCATTAGTGAAGTACTTTGACTGTATTTACCTTTAATTTGTAAGATTGCAGCTGCTTTGTCAACCTAATTGTTAGATTTTCAGTATTGTCTTTGAAGTCTTTGTTTTTTCCCCAAAATGTAAAAAGATGTCCATAGAACTTGTTTGGAAATGCAAACTTTTGTGTACTTTTCTTTCAGAGTACAGACATGAGTCCAGCTAGTAGCACCACATCACTCCCTGTTAGCCCTCTTCCTGAGGAGCCATTATTTTTCAAGGTACAGTTAATTATTTTCATAATAAATATTGTATATGAATGTTGGCTTATGTCATCTAGTGTACTACAAAGTGCTATTACTGCTTCCTTTTCTTTAAATTACTGTGATATCAGCAGATGTTTTTATGTATACACCATGCAATTTTTCTTGAAATACCTAGAATAAAACATTACTGGTTTTTGGAGGATTATTTTTTCCAGCAGACCAGAGCTATAAACCATTATTTATAAGACCATGTTTTATCCATCTCATCTGCTGGTGATATATTTTGATATGTGCATTCCTGTATATTTGTGTATGTCATTTGTCATCAACAGATTTCTCTTCATACTGGATTTCAAGTACATGCTTTAATGAAACAATGATTAGTTACCGCAGAGATACATGAGATGTTAAAGATATGTCAGAGAACAGTTTTGGTGTAAAACCAGCATAAGCCACAGGCCTGTCATTTTAGTTAATTTTAATAATAAATGATGGGATGATATCTGCAACTTTGTAAAGTTTAAGCTGTGAGGAACAAGTGTCCCTATGTCACTTTTTCACCTGACTTCATGGTATCCAGCCCTGGGACACAGGATGGCCTTAGGCAAAACCCAACTCTTGGAAGAGGTCTCCTGAGGCCACCCAGGCATTCAGAGCAGTGCTGCAGCTGCAGGCAAAGCTCTCACCTTGCCAGTTGTTTGCTGAAACAAGGAAGAGGGAACTTGGGTTTTCAGCACCATTGTCTCAGACGTGTGTCATAATACGGACAAAGTTACACTCACAGAAAGATCTCTTTTTATACCTCCTCTTTTCGCAGTAAGTTTCCACCTGCTGTATGAAAGCAGTTAGTAGCTTGGGTTGTGTTTTCAGTTGCTTTGCGATGATGCTTTATTAAAGCTGAGGAAGTAGAATTAATGAAGTTTGAGGATTTAAAGTTTGCATCTCTCCTGCACACATGGCCAGTGCATGAAATACCAGCCTCTTTCAGACCTGGTCAACCCCATTAAAAAATGCTTTTTAAAATTTTTCTTTTTCCCAGATTTTGTATGTCTGTGCAAGAGTTTTGCCCTACAGCTCAAAACCAGCTAGCTATTCAGCTGATCCTGTTACTAGAATGTTTAAGGACTGTGCTTGCTTGGTGGTTTCATCAGTGGAGGTACAGATGTATCTGTGGTCAGCTATTCACTGATTCTCATTCCTCTTCTGGGGTTTAATGTTTTCAGACGCTCTGGATATTAGTCAGATTTGCCTAAAATTGAGCAGTTTTGTGCCATGATGCTAGAGCACAGATGTCGTCTTCCTTGGGAAGCCACTTAAATGTGCATTGAAATCTACTCAACATTATAAGGTAGACTTGGTAGTTAATTTTTCTTCCTGTGACTGGAAAACCACTAAGATATGTCACATACAAAAGAAATGGGCTGCTCAGCTCAGATAAAGGTGTAAGATGTAAGAAAATTTAACTTGTAATAGTTACAATAAACTCTTGTGCTTAAGTTCTCAGCTGAGGTAAGCAAACCTCTCAGTTTGCATCAGGAACACTCTGACAAATACACTGTAGTGCTTTTATTTTTAAGGAAAATTATGCTTGTGTAGCTCAAAATGGGTTGTAAATGACTTCTCTGAAGTGAATTCTTGCTCTAATAAAAAAAATGAAGGTATTTCTTCATATTAGAAGTCTACTTCCTTTATATTTTATAGTAGAAAATGGTACAAGAAACTGAAAAAAAAGGGCAGGAAGCATTATTTAATCTTTCATTTTCAGTCAGTTTTCAAAACGGAGATAATTTTCCTTTGAAATTCAAGTAAAATGGAGGCCACACCAGGAAAAAGTCAAATAGATCTCACAGCCAATACCTCTAAGTAGAAGTAAAGGTAATATAAAATGAAGCAGTTTCTGTTATTTCTCTCTGACTCACTCCAAGAGAGTGCAATATTGCTCCAGTAGTGAATGACTGGTTTTACAAGCCAAAGCCCTCTCAAAAAGCTGTCAGTCTATAATATTGGCTTTTGATGGTGGGATGATGCATTTCCCTTAGCAACATGATAATAACCTTTCCCACCTCCTTGATGTAGGAATGAAGATTGAAAAAGAAATTCCGTTCTGTGGTTCTGAAAACACAAGTGTAATGAAGCAGGGCAGTATAAACACTGTATCTCTGGGATAGCTGAAGATCTCTGAGCTAATGAGGTTTTATATTAGACTGTGAAATGAAACCAAACCGCTTTTCTCAATTGTACCTGGTTTTACACCAAGAAAGAGAACTGTCCTTTCTTGGATTTTTATCAGTTCGTTTTCAGAAGAAAGGCTGCATTTCTGCAGAAAGAAAGAATGCAAATCCTGCCATCATACTCTTATTACATCCAACTTCACTGAAGCAGATGCCTGTCAGTTTTAATCCCACAGGATATGTGCCCTATAAATATGGAGAATCTAAGCTTGTTCAAAACCATTTTAGGATTTTGAATTTAATCTAAGGAAAGTCAGAAGCAAGATCCCCACGGGAGTGCTTGCATGTTGCATCTCAGCTCTGGTGACACTGAACTCAGCTACCATTTTCACAATATATTGCACATACTGTGACATTCAGCACTGCCAGACAGATCCAAATCATGTGAGACCATACTCAGCAATATTTGGAAGGAAGTCTTTTCCGGTACAGCAAGAGATACTACACCCGGGTCCATTGTAAACCATTATTTTAATGGATTTTATTATGTTTTATTAAGACAGTACCTTTAAAGGAGTGTTGGTGATACCTAGCAAAAGGAATAGAAAACAATTGAGTAACAAATAAGGGTAGCCAACTTCAATGCTACTTAATCCTAAAAGCAACCCTGAGAAAATGAAACCATAAACATGTAATTAATGCTATTCAGCAACCTTTGCTCCATCCCTTTTGTAAATAGTGCAATAGCAATGGTTTTGCTTGAGGAAGGAGCAACTTTGCACAGTGACCAGAACTACAACCAATTTCTCATGTGGCTTCGGGTTTCCTTCTCCCTGTGGAGTTAGTGACACACATGCTTGGAGCAGGCTTCCCTAGCTGTGTTCTCTAAAAACTTAGAAGAAAAATCCTGTTCAGACATGTATGCAGACAGTGCTCTTTTGAAAAGCTTTTCTAAACCAATTTTTGATAAAACACTCTAGACATTTCTTTTTAGTGAGTTATTTTTATGTCACATTCCAGCCTTCAATCCTCTGCTGTTTTCCACGGTTAAAGCTCTTTTAAAAAGCAAGATCTTTTCCCATATTAGGGAAAAGTTTCTTTCTTCTCTCACAAAAGATCTTTGTTGGTGGTTTTGCACTTAAACTTTTCTGTAGGGAGGATCTTCCTTTGAAAAGAAGTTTATCCTTTTGTCCCTGTATAATATTTCTTGAAGAATTAAGAGCCTTATCTTGAGGAAAAAAGCTATGTCGCTGTTGAAACATTTCAGAATTAAGAATCTGAAATACAACAGAGCAGAACGGTATTTGTCATGCAACCTTAACTCAAGTGTTATTCTGTGTTATAATAGCAAAACTGTAGCTGGCTCAAATGTGAGTGACTTTTAATTAATTGTGACTACTTACATCTTGCCTTTCATTTAGATGATCAGTGAAGAAGGGAGTATTTCTGAAAGGTCAACTTACCAAGCAAAGTCTCATCCATTTTTTAAAACCTGTTCTTTTCTCCTACTCATTATACTGTGCTTTATTTTAATAGCATTTTATTAATCTTTAAATTAGTGACAGACACTTTTAAGAAGGGATCTATGACAGCCATTTAGTACATGATATCTAATATTACCTAAATACACATTATGTGTTATACTGAGCACCAGTCTCACTGGTTATTAGCCACAACCAAGTTATAGATAGTAGCCATAACACTAACTTATTACATAAATGCAATGTTTAATTTCATATCAATTCCATGATTAATCTCAAACATGCCTTACTAATTGGCATTAAACATAAAAAAAAATCCTTAATTTCTTTCCTCTCTGCTTTGAGGGAGCTGAGAATTTCCTTTGGCATTTTTTATCTTACTGTGTTCTGACTTCTGTAATTAATACTCTTAATGCTCTTTCCCTGAGGAAGAAATGGAAGTGCCAGAACAAGTAGCAAAAGCTAGTGTTGGCAGTGTTACTGCTGCTGTAGGTCTAATGATGTATAGATCTATACTAACTTAGGTCTGTACCAGCATTTCTGCCATTCATTCTGCAGCTCTACAGGCTCTGCAAATGCAGATCTTTGCTGTCACTAATAGAGATGACTCTGGCAGCTCATGATGTTGTGCATGCAGCCTCAGCAAGAGATATGTTTTCCATCTGGTCAATAATCAGATAAATATTTTTACTGCAGATGTTTGGAATAATCAATGTGACAGTCACAACAGTTTTTTTCTCTGGTTAACCAAGGTGACTTATCTTTGAGACTAAATTTACTCAGCTGAAGAATGAGGTCCTGTCCTAAGTCAGCAATGATGACGACAAATTGGACCTATGCTGCTTATGCTAGTTGACAGCCAGCCAGCCTGTTTACCCTCTCTTCCTCAAATGCACTATTTCCAATATTTTAAGTATTTGCTAGCACTTCTTTGAATAAAACCATTTTAATATTTTGTTTCCTTTTGTTTTCAAAACAGACTCTGGAATAATCACATAGACATTATGACCCATGGGCAGATATGGGTCAGGGTTCAGTGTTCCTCTTTCATGGGCAGAAGGCCTCATTAGCTCTTGTCCCTCTCATTCTACCCTCCACCTGAATTTCTGCTTCCACTGAACAGTGTGTAAACTCTGAAGCCTCTGTGGTTTTAATTTTTTTTTTTTTTTACATAAATACTTCTCTTATTTCTACTAAAGCGAATAGAGTTATAGAAGTATGGCTCACTCAACCCCACTTCTCATCTGCTGCCTCAATCCCCAGCTAATTTTCAACTGCTTTTTACTTTTATTTCCTGTCTCAGTATTTGTTTTCTGAATGACTCCTCACATCTTACTGGTGTAGCACAGGCTTTAAAAAGTCA